TCGCCCCCTTCTTGAATAAATAACGGATTAGAATGAGCCAAAAACTTTACATAATTCTCATTGACTGTACGTTGAAAAAATTACGGTAGAGCTTCAATATTTAAGTCGCGGTGAAGAATTAAGTTTGGAACAAACCATTGCTCACCTAAACTAGTTCTCAGCATAGAGTTTTGTAAAAATTGGAGTGGCTGAATAATGGCAGGGGGACAATATGACCACGACACAGATGCGTAGGTCATCTTGTGTCTAATAGTGATGAGATTGGATTGAAACCTATTGCCTTTAAAGAGGCGACTTTTCTGGAAGATAAGCGGGTATACTAGTTTGATCTCTGGTTTAGCCTTTTTCGTGAAATGTTCAATATGGTTGCACCAAGAGAGTCTGTTTCCTATGATGAGGTCCAGATAATTTATGTTAGTGCGCCAGGAGACTGGTGTACCGTGAATGACGATTGGTTGAAGATAAAGTCTTTTACATCTTTTAGTAATGATTATGGCTGCGCTCTTTGAAGGGTTAATAGTAAGGTGGCACTGGGCGAACGAGAGCTCGATCCATTCGATGTATGCTCGCACATCTTACTGCTAGCGGAACTAACTTAGAAATAGCAAAGATTGTTATGGCATCAGCGAATTATGATAAATATGATGAGGTATTGGTCGATCTGGTAAAAAACCTTCTAAGGTGCAGAAATGATTGAATAAGGGAGAGGAGGTAATCTGGTATACTTAGGATGTTTAGTTTAGTTATGAGACCCGCATGCCAAACTTTATCAAAAGCCTTTTCAGTATAGCACATGTGCACTTGTTGCTGTAAAATCCCTTTGTCACGTGTTCCGTGAACCTCAGGAACTGCTGCGTAGTTGAATGGTGGCCCCTTCTGAATCCAAATTGGTTTTCAGGGAAGATATGGTTTTCTTCTACATATTTCTGTAATTACCTGAGTATATCTAACTCTGCTACATTGCCAGCACAGGATAATAGACTTACTGGGTGATAGTCCACTTGTTTGAGGATTTTTTAATTTGGGTAGAAAAATAAGTGGCCACTTTCCATCGATCTGGAAATAGTTAAAGACTAAGAGTGGCGATAATGATAAGAGTGTGAGTTTTTAAGGCTGACTTTGGTAAATTTCTTGCATGAGGTTTTTTATGCTGTCCGGCCCTGGTGAGTTAGTTGGGAAGGTGTTAATAATTGACTGTACCTCTTGGAAGTTTGTGTGATCCTTTAGCGGTACTTGCTTACTAGAGGATAAGAGTTGTGTGAGGGTAGTTGTCCTATTTGCAGAAATCGTTAAGGATGGGCACTGGGGCAGAAGGTACTAAGCAAAGACTTCCACTTTCTCTTTGTCATCATAAACAGTCCCGGTCTTCAAGTTTAACAGGAAGCTGTGCTGTTTATGGCGGTTCTTTACCGATTTAATGATATGCCGATAAGAAATCGAGGGCTTTGTTATTTCCTAGATTAGAAAGCTTATACTCCCATTCACGGTTGTGAAAGGTGAGGAGGTTTTTTTTGACCTTTTTCTCAAGGTTTTTAAGTAATTGTTTATGTCAGGGGGGCCGAGTTAACGCAAACTTCCTCTTTTGCTGTTTTTGGATTGAAGAAAGGACTTCAACTTTAGCGGAAGGTGTGGTTTTAAATATGATAGTTTCATAGTGATAGAGACCTTTTGGTGTGATTGAATGATCGTGCTTTCACAGTTAACTATTGAATCACTGAAAAGTGGGGGCGAATTAGGTCTCAAGGGGTTGTCTTTTAGTTTTTCGTCTTGAACATTCTGAAAAAGTTTCGAAGTGAATTTACGTAATAAAGGCGAAAGACCTACTTATGGGGAGCTTATTTTAAAAACTACAGGTAGGGGATCTGAGGAGAGCTCATATAAAATCGCCTATTTAACTTGGAGAAAATTTTTTTTAAAACTGCAAGGCCTAATACATCAGCAGTACCCCACTTGGTAATGCGTGTTGAGTTGGTTGGGCCTAAAACAGTTAACCTCTAATTTTCGGCGTACTTGTTGATAAATTCTCCATTAGGGTTCCCATTCTGCTATTCCATAATGAATTTTTGCAGCTCAGCTCCCCACATAGAATTACGGAGTTATGATAGCTCATAACGAAGTTCATTTCATAATTTACTAGGGGCTTCCCAGGAGCTTTATATGTAGAGACAACCGCTACGTCGCCTTGACCGTATAGATTTAATTTAATTCCAGTTGCCTCGATGAAAGCTAACTGATTAAACAAATCTCTGAGTGGGCAAGGTGTGTGTCTTCTGACCAATACTGCTATACTCCTTTTCTAAGGTTAATTCTGTCTTTACGGGATAATGTGGTTGAGCAATTTAAAGATATTTCCGGGTTTTGGGTGGATTTCGCTCCCAAGGACTATATCGATTTTTTCTCTTATTAGAAGCTCTTCCGGCTCTTCTCTTTTGGGTCGCAGGCCATCTGCATCCCAGCATAGAATGAGTGTACTTCAATGCGTTTTGCAGCACAAACATAACGATTTGAGAAGGTCATTAAGCAATTTGGCTGTAGTGAAAAGTGTATTTCTTAAATTTAATTATATGTAACTTTACCTTCAGAGCGGACCCTTCCATTCGTTGAGGAGGTAGAAATAGTTTTTATAAGGGATGCTTCTGGTCCAGGTACAGCGGTGGTGGGTGTAGGTTGCATTTTTTCTTAAGTATGTGCTTTTCGGATAATATATACATTCCCTATAGTTTGCGGAGTGATAGCCCTGACAGTTAGCACATTTTAGTAGAGTCTCCGGTGTTTTTGTGCGCCGTATAGTTTAGTGATTTTCACCACATTTGACGCATTCGCGGGCTGAGGTGCACTAATTGAGTTATGGTTGAAAAGCTGGCAGCGATTGACCAAAAACGGTGCTGATATTCAGGCTTTTTAAAGAGATTGAGAGATAACAAACGGAAGTAACTTTAAAAATTGGATATTTCAGATCTTGGTAGATGCACGAGAACAAGAGTGGAAGCAGTTTTTATCTTTTCTAAAGCTTTTCAATTGAGCGACTTTTAACGGGTGGAATCCCTTCGTCGCGGATCTTCTTTGATCTTTTGGCAGTTCAATTCTGGAAATATACCTCTTAAAAATACTTTAATTGCTTTCTTTTCCAGGTAGTCGATAGGAGTAAAATTTATAATTTCTTTCAAAGAGAAGCTTTGTGGTTTCTCGAAAGTCGTCAAAACTTGAGAGGAAAAATTTAATGCCAGTCGAGAGATCCTTCAAAGTTAAGTCGTTGATGTGACTGTTTGATAAAAGAGAAACTACTTCCGGTCATTTATGCTTTTCACATGTAATTATGGGTGTTGTTTATTTTTAGGGATATGTTACTAGTACTGTTACTAGTACTTTACTAGTACTGTTGCTAGTGGTGGCTTCGATTTTTTATTTTTGAAGGTGTTACCACTACCGCTACTGCTCTTAGTAGTAGGGGTATAACTGTTCTTATATTATTATGGTCCTAATCACTATTGTTAATAGTATTATACTTACTACTATCGTTGCTGTTACTATATTTGTTATTACAGCAAGTAATTTTATTATAGTTATTACTGTTAGTAGTGATATCATTCTCGTTATTAATGATAGTAATTTCGACTTCATCTTGAGCGCTGAAAACTTATTAGAATTAGATTCCCTACAGCTAAAGAATCACCCTTTGTTTTTTCGAAGCATTAAAAATGGGGTTGTTTACCCTACTTTCAAGTTTGGAAATCTTTTTGTAAGCAAAATCTAGTTTTTTAGTTAGTTCCACAAAGGTAGCTAATAATTTGGCCACCATCTCAGGCGAGATGTATATTAACATGGCAGCTTGTTCCCCCGGCCACATCTAAAAACGGTGAGAGGACTGCGCAAGAAAAAAAAAAGAACTCCAACAAATCCGGTTTCCACTATACTATCTCTATTTATATCAATGACATGCTAACTAGTGGGGACCAGTAGCTAGCACAAGCACTAAAGAAAGTCCATGTCAGCACTTACAGTTACTCCATGTCAAAAGCAATACCAACTTGCCGAAACGTAATATTTACCTAAAAAGCTTTTTTCAAACCTTTAAAAGCCATGAGAAAGGTATCTAAGCATAAAAAGTAGGTACCACATAAACTGAAAAGAGCTATCGAAAGAAAAAAAGCTATAGCTGAAATTCTACTTGCCAGGCAAAAAGAAAAATATTTTTATATCAAATTGTTACTAGCTATGAAAAATGAATCTATTTTGATAACCTCAAACGCCGAAAAACTATTTGCGAGCCAAGACAACCATTAACAGCTACGGCAAAACGCAATGCACATGGGAAAAAAGACATGATTTGTATAAGGTAACCTGGCGAAACAGCTACAAGGAATCTCTACTAACAAAAAAACGTTCCGTTTAAGCCAAGCATTGCGAGAAAAAAAAGAACAGAGTATGAAACAAGACAGCATTAAGTAATTTTGGCTTTATGATAAAGCTCAACAGCACGTCAATAAGGCTGTTAGGGAAAACACGACACACTTCGCTGGGAAGTACTACCCCTTGCAGCTTATTTACCCGACTTTGTCCCTTCCGAATATCACTTGTTTCACTTAATGGACTCGCGCTTGTTAAAAACTATTTGACTCTCAAAACCTCGAAATATGGGTCTTAAAATGTATAGCCTCCTAAGATGAGTCTTTTTTTTTTTTGGAAGGAAAATCCGTTTGTTTCAAGGAAGATGAGGAAAGACACGGTGCTTTATAAATATTAAATTTTCGCGAAATAAAGCGGTTTTAAGTTATATACCTAACATAAAGGCGAAAAAGTAAGAGGTACTCGCAAAAAGGCTTGGTGTAATTAAGCAAGTCTAGAATTGCATAAAAGTCAATATAAAATAGTAACCTAACCCAAGTGTTAATAACAAATGTTAAAGTTTTTAGTTTGCTTTACAATTTCGCCTAACTCGCTATGGAATTTTTAACCCAAAGGTAACCTCGTCTCCTATAAACAAAGCGGCGGGGGAGTAGTGATTTTCATGCTAGAGTCAATAAGTGGTTAGTAGGAATATTGTCACAAGTGCGTTAATACTGTCCTGGAATACAATAAAGCTATAGTTTTTCCATATTAACTATATATGCCCTTACCTTAAAACTTTTTGGTGGAAACACATAAGTAATAAGCAATTTGGCCATGTTTAGGGATGTGCAATCTTTTTCATCTTCCATCCTTCAAGTTACTTGTGTTGTTTTCGGTTTTTAGAGCTGAAGCACGGCCAGCTCAAGAGCTTGCGGTGATCAAAGAGAATATTTGTGAGGATTCTGTGTTTATTAGCACTATAGATGGTACTTTTTACGCTGTAGAATTGCGTTCGGGTAATATGCTTTGGTCTTTTTCGCTGAAAAGTAAGTTACGTGAATTTTAGCTGTTTTAGCTATATTTATACTTTGTTATTCTAAATGAATTTATTAAGTTGCTTATACAAATTTATTAATTGTGGTTTGCTCAAGAGCCTTTGCTAGTGACCGTAAGTCAAGCCAGCGATATCAACTTCATACCAGATCCTTCCGATGGCAGTTTGTATTATTCTGAATATGGACGTTTAAAAGTATTGTTTACTTGTTAGATAGAAGTTGGTCAAATACTAGTTTCTATATAAATAAATAAACCAAAAATTAAGCTTATAAGTAATAAAAAGTTATTTCATTGATTCTTCATGGATAGGTTGTAAACTATATAAAACTAGTTTATTTTATACTTCTCTTCAAAAAAAAAATTTTAAACATAAAAAATATATATTTTCTTATTAATGGATAATACTATAAGAAAATGCCTCTGAACATTCCCGAATTAGTTTCCTCAGCTCCTTTTAGAGCAGAAGATGGCACCGTTTTTTTAGGTTAGACCTTATGCAAATAAGATACTAATATTTATAAACTCTACATATATTTTTAATTTCATATTTTTACCTAAAACTCTATAATTTTCAAAACTTATTTATAAGTTATGCTATAATTTAATTTTTATTTTATTAAACTCTTTTTAGGTAGTAAAAAAACAGAGCTTATAGCACTCGAATGCGCTTCCGGTGTTCTTCAAAGAAAGTATAAATTAAAAACTTTTTCAAATCTCGGCAATTTTACGCTGAATACGATGTTTATTGGATTAGTTGGTTTTAATATAATAGTCAATTTTAAAATTTAATATTTTAACTTTTTTAAAAGCTTTACAAAACTATAATATTTACTATATAAAACTTATATTTATTATAAATTGCCTTAATAGTTGATATCTCTTTTCTTTTTGTATTTTTCTATTTTTAATTCACTTATTTTTTGATTAAACATTTGGCTCTCTGCTAAAAATAAATTAATGTAATTTTGAAAGCGAATTTTTAAGAAATGACCTATTTTTTTTTGTTAAGTTTCCTACTTTTTATCTGCGGGAAAGTTTTAAAGCTATAAAATCTTTAAAAATCTATTATATGTTAAATTTTGAGATAGGAAAAAAAGCTGCATGGGTTGTAAATAATGAATAATATATCATAGTTTAACTACTTGGAATTTAAATTAAATCTTGTAACGTTTAAATTTTCTAAAAAAATTAATAAATTTAAGTTTAATTGAACTTAAATAATATTTTTAATTTCACCATCTTTTTTTTAAAATTATTTCCTTTCCTTTTTTTGAAGATTTTTCTTTAACAATTCGAGATGAAATGGGGAATCAAAGGTTAGCCTTTTTATTTTTTTATAAAAAAGTATTGCGTATTTATAAAAAAAAAATTTATATAAGCGTTAAAAAAGCTAACTTACAGTGAGTGAAAAAAAATATTATTACTTGAATCTCCTTAATTTTTTTTGTCTATTATGATTATATTACACTTCTGTAAAAAAAACTTTAAGGTGGAACGTTTCGTACATCCAGTTTTCCTCTGTTAATTTTAAAAATCTCACTTCGGAATCGTTAAATTTAAGTAATTTTTCTATACCAAATACGGGCATCTTAAATTATTTTTTCAAAGCTGTGGATTTTCTTTCTTCAAGTTCGCACACCCTCGCTGCAGTGAAAAAATCTTCTGGTATTTTTCTCGAGCTGTGATTGGCTCTTGTATTCACTGACTAGCCAGTGATCTTCTTTATTTTATCTGCTTTGTTTTTTAATTAACTTATTGTTGGTCTGCGCTGCATGGAGTCGCACAGGAGTGGCGTTATATTCAGTTTTATTAGTTATCTAGATTTCCTTTTTTTATAAATTTTTTTTAGGGAATCTCAAATGGCTGCTGCATTTCGCATCACCCGTCGTTTCCACTTTTTTATATAGTCGAGGTCGTGTTAATTGTATAATTCATATAATCTATATTGTTATTTCTGTTGAACAGCCGTCTTGCTTAAAGTTCCTCTAAAACGGCTTTCCATGCTTTCCCAAGACAAGAGTTTTAGGTCGCTGAGTAATTCATAGTAATCTCTAAAAAAAATTGTGATTTGTAATTTTAGTTTTTATGTAAAACTGATCCTTGGATACTAAGTACGTGACTTTTACTATTTACTAAATAACTGTTTTTTGCATCCACTAAATGACGGCTTAAATTTCAGCGTTTCCCTTAATTTTTTTTATTTCGCTTTATTACTCGTGTGAATGGATCGTTGCAAAAGCATATTTTATTTAATCCAATAATTCGACACAAACAATTCTTTGGGCTTGTATTTTTTATCCAATGACAATCTTACTTACAAATATGGATTGACCAGTGAGTTGACCATCCGGCGGTACCTGGAAACGCTGTACTGCACAACTTCTTTATGCAACCACGTGGACCTTGATTTATCGAAAGCTGTCTATGAACACGTGTCCTTTGACCTTTTTTTAAAGAATCTCTTGCTGTTCTTACTGCTATTAATTTTAAAAGTTTATTGTCCTCTGCCCCACATGAAGGACCCAAAAAGTCGATACGGGCTGTATTGCCTACGGAATGCACGCGTTCTTCTTCCAGCTACCCCAACTGTTTGCTAGGCGCTTACCTCGTGGTTTCTTGCCCACCCAATTAGGGCAAACATCTATACATACAACTGCCAATAGCAGGGCCCTATTGATTCTAGCACGTTTCCCCCTCGTCTTATTGAGGGTTACTCCCGCCCCCGAGAAGCCTCGCCCCTGTCCTCAACCTTATACTTGCATCTTCTTATAATTCTTGTAACTTTACTTTCAAGTTATGTCGGTAACTTTGCTGCATAAAATAAGTGGTAGTTATGTGTATGGTTAGCGCAGGCTTATTGGTGCTCTCTCTTCACTTCTTCTGTCTTTCACAACATTGCGTTCCTGCCTCTCTGGAGCGCGTGCCTGATATGCTGGAAGTCCGTAAATTTACGGAAAAAGGCAAACCCAAGGTATTTTACTGAATGCTTATTGGTGTAGAAGGTCACAAGCACAATTTCAGAATCCCGAGCTGATTGGCAAGATCAGGCTAGCTAGTGACGATATTTTGGGTTCTCTTTTTTAATGAGACTCAGACTATTATTATCTATTATTGCTATTGGCGTAGGCCACGGCAGCCACGGCACAGTGGTGTTCCGAGGGTTTTTTGAGAACCGGCCAGTTGCAATAAAGAGGCTGTTAAAAGAAGTCAGTTTGTTGGGGGTTCATTGTACTGGATGTCATTCGTTGCTGATTGGTTCATCGGGATAGTTTTACGAGATTGCCAATCACGAAGTGGATTTACTGTTGCAGTCTGACAATCATCCTAATATAGTTCGATATTTTTGCAAGGTTTTTGAAACTACTCTTGTTTTCTTTATTTCTTAAAAAATAATCTGTTCTGATTCATGTACAGGAAGAAAGCGAGCAGTTTTGCTATATTGCCCTAGAGTTATGCGAAGGTTCTCTGGTAGATTTCGTAGAGCAAAAAGTTGCTGTTGCTCTCTCTCATCTCGATATAGTTTTTCAGTTATTAAATGGTAATGATATTAATTATTAACATAATACTATTAATATTAACAATAATATAATAATTGGTTTCTAAAGGACTGAATCATCTTCACAACTTAAATTTAGGTTAGCTTATAAATTTCTCACGGTGGTTAACTTTTTTTTTTACGTTTTCTTTTTCTTTTTATTTACTTTAGTTCATAGAGATATCAAACCGCAGAATGTTTTAATAACACGGCAGTTTGGTTTAAAATAACTTATTAACTGTAAACAACCAAGTATTAAACTGATTTACTAAATTAATAAATAACAAAGGGGTTCAGAGAATTATTATTTCAGATTTTGGCTTTTCCAAAAAGTTGATAGAAGTATTTATTGATAATAATAATAATATTTTTGCTGTTATTTTATAATTTACAGGGACAAAGCTCATTCGCAACTCAATTTTCCGGTAATATTTATAGTAACGACTTCACTATGTTTCATGCGTGTTGTAGTGTGTTTAAATTCGCGTAAATTTCTGTCATAATAGCTTTTTTTCTGACCATTTTAAAGTATTTACTACCGTATTGAACAATAGGTACGCAGGGGTGGGTAGCCCCCGAAATGTTATTCGGTCAGCGAATGGTTTTTACTAAATTTTTATCCCGATGTTGTGATTAATTAAAACGCTGTTGCTATGAATTTACTATAAATTTTTTTTTTACCACATAAAACTTTTATATACTGTTATACTTTATTTTCCATTGTTGTAATTTTTTTCTTGTAAATAAGACGAAATTTGTTGATGTTTTCTCCACCGGATGCGTTATTTATTATATCTTGTCAGGTGTAAAACTTTTTACTTATTACAAATAAATTATTTTCAGATATATTAAAAAAAATATTTATTGGTTATGATAATTAAAATACTTATAAAGTTACTATTAAATATATTTATTTTTATTAAAGTTTTGTAAATATTATTACAAATTTAATAAAAGTAGCACGGGGATTCACGTTAACAAAGTACACAAGAAATTATAAATGTATTTTCTGCTAAATGTTTATGCAATACATGAAAAAATCAAAAACTTATAATTTTTTAGCTTTGAAACCTAGTAAGAATATTAGAATTTTTACTTTAAAATATATATATATATATAAATAACTAATATAGATATAAAAAACTCACTGAGGGTATAGCAGAAAATATTTTTTTAAATTTTAAGTCCCCTTAGTATAATTATTATAGTTATTTAAAGTTTATATTTAGTAAATAAACCTCTATATGGTAATTAAAGGAATAATATTTTGCAAAAAATTTTTATCAATGATAGACAAAAGTTTTCATTAGTTGAGGTTATACAAGACCTCGTGCTTATCTTTTCTTCTTGATAGGCGGTTCGCATCCCTTTGGCCGGTCGTTTGAAAGAGAATGTAAAATTAGAACTGGTATTTTGGTTTTTAATATAAAAAACACCTTTTACATTACTTAAAACCAATGAAAATCGTTTAATGTACTTTTTTTTGCGCCATCGCTTTTACCCAAGGAACATTACTAAATATTTAGCTAGCCTAACAAACTTGACATTGGTGAATCATAAGTAACCTTTTTATTTTTAGGGACATACGAGTTGTCTTGTGTGGAGAATAATCCGGAAGCTTTAAATTTGATAGCTAAAATGATTAGCCTTGAGTGTAGTGAACGGTTTATTTACTAAAAATTAAAACTTTAATAGTTAAAATAAAAAGTTAATCACCATAATTAGTCCGACCATTAAAGAAGTCTTAAAGCATCCCTTTTTCTGGTCTAATAAAAAAAAGTTACAATTCCTTACGGACTTAAGTGACTGGGTGGAAACCGAAAAGTTTGAATCGTCTTCAAATTTGTTATCGCTTTTACAGAAAAATGCCTCGCAAATATGTGCCTTTTAATAGATAATATCACCGTTCTCTTTTATATTTTCTTCTACCTTGTATAGATGGCGCAAACTGGAAAACTTTTTTACATGAAGAGCTTGTTGAAAATTTAGAGCAGTTCAGAAGCTATCACGGTTGTTTATTTATTGTAATAATAATAAAAATTAATCTTTCCAAAAAAAACTACTAAAAAACTTTGAGGTAAAGTTTTTTTCTTAATATAGCTAACATGTAATTTGAATAATTCTTTAAGGCTGGCGCTTACGGGATCTTCTTCGTTGCATACGAAATAAAAAAAGTCATTACTCTGAACTCAGTATTGCTTTGCAGCAAATTCTCGGACCTATCCCGGATGAGTACAGTCGTTACTTTACTTCGAGGTTTCCTTATTATTATTATATTTACATTATTGTTATACGCTTATTTCTAGGTTTCCAAAATTACTCATTTCATTGTATCTTTTTATCTTGGAGAACAACCTAGCCTCGACCGCGAAATTTGAAAGATATTTTTAGTGCAGAAATTTTTAATAAAATAATATTTTTTAAAAACTTGATATTTATAATAAAAAAGTGTATGCTGAACTAATTTTGTTTTTAAAAAAAAGGAATTATAATGCCATTAGTTGAATGTCACTTAATTGGAATTTAGTTTAATAAAATATGCTTATTGGATATAGACTGACCAGTTAATACTCTGTTCTTAGCTTTAGCCCAGTTGTGGCTTTTTTATAAAGTATTTACGAAATTCCTAAAAATTTTAGATTATAAACACAGTTATTTGTAATAATTTTTAATAAACATAAATAAGATTGTTTTTAATTTCTTTACTTTTACTATAGCTATAATTAAAATATTTTAAAAAATTAATATATTGGAATTATTTATAACAATTTCGTATAAAAAGTTTTGTATTGTAGTTGTGGCGCTGAAATAGATGCCAGCATTCCTCCTTTTCCCTGCGCAACTCTTTTTAGCCCTGTGAGGGAGCCTTCCTGCTAGAATGGGTATACAATACTTTTAAGCATTGAAAATAAGGCTGTTTTTATAACTGAGAAAGAGTGAGAGAACTGAAGGAAGAAGGAAAAAGTAAAGCTATCATAGACATATTTTTCAACCTCTTTTATGAAAATTGGTTTCCCTGTGTGAATTTAGCTCAGTTTTAAAGAAATTTTGAAAATGAATGAAGGGAGAATAAAAGGGGAGGCGTATAATAAAATAAAAATATACCAGAATTATTTGTTACATTTTTTCGAAGTTATTTTTTTCTGGGACTTGCCAACTTTACAGCGCAGAACTAAAATCTTGCGCATCTAAAGAGAAATTAAAAAAAGTATACTTTTCAGGAAGTCGTTTGGGAGCTACTCAATTATAAAAATTTTCTTTGTTTTTAGTAAATTTATTGGCTAAAGTAATATTTTGGTGTAAAGCAACTTTTATAAATTGTTTTTCCTTCGGCCTAATTTTACAATCAGTAAGCTTTATAATCTAACCTTTACTACTACGCGCAGCCAAGCTCAATATCAATAAATAATTGAACTAATTTACCCTTTTAAAGGAAATTTTTAAAGACTGTTTCTATATAATTTATTAGTTTAATTTACTTATTTTGGTCAAATGAACTTAAGTAAAAAATTAAATAAATTTTTTCAAATTTTGTTTTTTCTATAGTATAAAAAAGATTGTACAGTTCACTGCTCAACCGTACTGCCTATATTAAAGCCATGATAAAAGGGTGGATTGCTATTAACAATATCAACTTGCTCTGCACTCAGATTAGCAAAGATGTTGAGGCTAACTGTGGTAACATACATATATTTCATAATTTTAAAAATTTTAAAAATTACAAGTCCACTGTGTTGGTCTACATTTATATTTTAAACAAAAACGTCCCAGAATTCCGGAAGCTACCACTTTTCTCTAATAATTAAAACAATTCGTTTTAAAAGTTGCAGACCTCTTTATCAATAACTACAGTCAAGTCTACGAAATAAGTTATACGCGTTTTCAAGTTGTATTTACCTGTTATTGAATTTTTCTAATAGATTAAAGTATTTAGTACATTATAGTAACAACTTCGAGAGTGGTAGTGGCGAAATATAGTAAGTGTATACTAACTGACATACGAAAATTCTTATCGTAGTTATTTCATTTTGCAGCAAGTGCACAAGTTTCAATCTAAATTCTTAAATTTTGTCTACATGTTTGCAATAATAATAAGTTCCACGACTGACGGTAAAGAGACCGTTATCTTTATTTAAGGCTAAAGCTACTATTAGTTACTCAAAACTAAATAATTGACAATCAAACAAGCTTAGTAAGTTTAACTTGACATTAACCAAGCTTTGATTATTTCTTCTCAGAAAAGTATAGTTTTCCCAAAAGAGCATATGTCCATCCAAAAATCCATCCCATCATGAAGATTACAACAATTCCTACTACGTAAACTACGAATTGTAACTGAGGAGGATCGGATCCGCACTCCGTAGTAATATTTTCAGGAGTAATTATATCTAAGTAATGTACAACGCGTGCCCAAGGACAAAGCTTACCCGAATTATAATTTATAATGGAGAAATTTTCGCAGAAAGGCAAAGTCTCTTCCTTTCCATTGTAAATCAATCTTAAGTAAAACTGTGAATCAATTTGATGTGCATTTTGATAAAGCTCCAATTGAACAACTGAAGAATAAGCAGGCCAGCTTATATTTTTTTTAAAGCCTAAAGCCGCTAGTAAGGCAAGAATCCCAAAATCATGCCCGCTATAGACAGCAAGTTTGTGAAAGGGATTATTCCCACCATTGACCACTAATTTCCAGCGATCGTACCATTCTTTTAAGATAATTCCAAAAGCAACGCGAGATCTTTCTTCAAGAGAAGGATAATTATAATAAAGTAACATTCTTTCTGCGCGAATCGAACCAAATCGATTAATAAAATCTACTTGAAAACTTTTATTTAAGGGAGTTTCATAGTGATGGCAATTATAAAAAATCATGCATTCCCATAAATGTAAAAGCTAAAATCAAAATCTTTTAAGTAAGTCAAATATAGATTAAATAATGTACATCATTATAGTTTATAAGAGTTCTCATCGTGTCTGCCACTTGTGATTCAAGCTTATCAAGTTCTAACTTTCTCGAAATAGCCGCCCTCTGGAATTCAGCAGAATATTTGTTGTATTTGGGACAAAAGAAAAATGAGTAAATGGGATCGGCATCCAAATCCATCACATCATAAACAAAAGCATTCGTTTGGGATCCAGGAAACAATCCATTCATTAAGCCTTGCAAAGAGCCAATAACACGAGATTTCTAGAGAAAAAAATTTCAAAAATGCATATAAGTAAATAAATAATGAAGACCTCATCTGCTCGTAAATAAATCTCAGTGGAATTGTAAATAGGAGAAACAAATCTAAGTGGGAATATAAATTATAATAACGATAAATTCGAAAATAACTTACTTTAGCTCATTTATTGTACATATAAATTTATTAAAATACTTGTACAAGAATATAAAGATCATAAAGTAAAATTTTATTAAAAAATTAAACGCAAAAGTTGAAAGAAAAAACTTAAGGATCATTAAAAAGGAATTTGTTAGTAACTTATAACAACCAAAGTCAATATAAAACTTATAAAAAGCGCATAATTTGTATAAATTATTTATTGAAATTCATGCGAATTTTACTTTGTGGCCACATAACTTCGGCGCAACATGGAACCAACACTGACTTGAGTTTCATAACCCATCTTAGTTAGTTGTGCTTAATTGTACAATTAACATAAACGAGAAATAATTACTTAATATGCGTTAAACCTGGACGGCATCCTTTAGAAGAAGTGGAATTTACATTAATATAGTTCTCAATCATGGCTTTGTGCTTCAGCGATATATCCGGGGAAGGGAAATCATAAATCATCCCGGACCGAAAGTTGCAATCAATACTTTTTTCTTGTATATCACTCTCCCAGCATTTTTTATTTCCTGCTGGTACTAGAAAAGATGAAACAAATATAGAGATAAAAGTTAAAAAAATATATATATAAATAGAACATCTATCTCCGTGCCTATGAAAAATAGTAACTTGCTTTAAAATATAATCTGAACCCAAAGGTACGACTGTAGAAGAGGGATAAAAATCACACTGTGCTAAACACAATTGTTTCAAAATAATTAATAAATGTACTAGAAATATAAGCATTTTGACCAAGTATGTCCTTTTTTTTAACAAGGAAACCTTTACCATACTAAAGGAAAATGAATAAGTTGTGCACATCACGTGACTTGTGCACGCAATAGGCTCTGCTTATTTTTTTTTTTTTAACTAATTAAAAAAAAGAAAAACGTTATTTTACAGTTATTATAAATTTAACATTATGTAAACCTTTAAGTTTAACAAAGTCTTTCAATATTTACTTGTTTTAATTCTGATAGGATCGCCAAATTGCTGCTTTTAATAAAGCCATACTTAAAATTATGTACAACTGATTAAAGTTTACTTTTGTAGAGCTCGTTGTAACTGTTTAATAATGTATCGTGAAGTGTTCCATTGTGAGAATGAAAAGCCTTAACTGCTCCTTAAGAAAAGTACTTTTTGTTGAGAAATGGTGGTGAGGAGTTTATACCCCATAACTCCTTAATTGTTAGTATAAACAAACCAAATAAAAGACAAGAAATAAGCACAGATAAAAGACGAAACAGGGCGACATAAATATAGGGAAGTATATTGTATTATATTCGACCACACGCCGTAGTTCTTTGAATGATTGTAATAAAGAAGCTTGATTGTAAACAAGAAGTATTGACATTATGGGCCAACACAAGTATTTACACAGCCGTTTAGCTTACAACAAAAAATGGCCTAATAAAAATTAACAAATAAAAAAAGGTTATTTTAAAAATATATAAAAACGATTATAATTACGCACATGAACTGTAAAAAAAACTAATTAATACCAGGAATTAAAAACTTCTATGGAGGTTCTATGTTAATTTTAAAAAAAAAATTTGGTCATGATTTCCGTAAAAGTATATAAATAGACTAATAGAACTGTTAATAAATTTTATTGCTGGCTATTTTCCTTACTTTATAATAATTTGTGCTACAAATTTTAAAGCGCTAAGCCGTGATACGGACGGCATTTATATAACTTGTTCTGAGTAATTCCTAGAACACTAAATAGGTATTACAGATTAGATGCTCATCAATGAAAGCGTGTTACTCTTCTGTAGTTGCATTATAGAAATATTGGCTAAGTTCAATACTAGTAATATTAATTTTACAAACTTTTTTTTAAACTTTAATAATAGTTCTTTTAAGCTTGCTATAGAGATTTTTATGCTAAGTATTATTATATAGGTTAACAGGCACTTGGGTAATAATCAAGTTTAATTTTACTTTAATATTCGCTTCAACAATGACTAAATTTTCAAATTTAGCACATTTTAGTTCGATATGGATTTAAGTGCAAAATTTAACTTTACAATATCGTTCGTTTTCTTTTATTAGATTTATTTTTTTCTTTAAGAATAAAATTTACGTCGTGTATTTCTTCTGCTAACTTTCTAAGTTCTTTAAATTTTTTCCTTTTTATTTCCTTTTTTTTTAAATAAGAACTGTTCAACTCGTCACATTTCTTAGCAGTATTAGCACATTCGGCGGGAACTATACCTTCGCAAGCTATGTGGTAAAAACAAACATATAAATGACCCTTTTGAAGGATACATACTTATTATTACCACAAAAATTTTATATATAAAGAGTTTAAAATTTACTTAAGCATATATAATAGCATTAAATACACCTTTTTGAATTTCGTCGTAATACCCGTTAACCGCATTTTCATAAACTTTACATAGATCCTCAGATTTAAAAAACGCATACAAGGGGCCGAGTTCGCTGTATTTTAGATTCCACTGGTCCCTAACAGTTTGACTAAACTCTTCAATATTAAAGCTGATCTCGGAAATGGGGATTTCAGGGTTAACGCTATAATTACTAGCAGTAATTATACTATCTTTGCTATGAACAAGACTTCGGCTTTGGCTCATATTCGACTTTGTTTTCGCAAGAATTGTATTGGGTTCTGTGTATCTTTTAAGCTCATTATACTGGTCAATCAATTTATTATACCTTTTCCTTAAACTTTGAATGAACAAATTTTTTTCTTTTACAGTTTTTATTAATAAATTTTGAATTTCATATAAGTGTAGGGAAGTTATTGCTAGCGGAGCTATTAAATGTTGCTCGAGGGATTGAAGTAAAATTTTTTTTTTTTCTTCAGAATTAGTGTTACAAGGCTGAATTACCGTTTCAATTGTAAATAATTCACCTTCAAAATCCCATATAAAGTATATTGGACCTACTTTACATTTAAAGCTGAAGATACAAGTGCTTGTGTAGAAGGTAATTAAAAAGTAAATGCTTAAAGAATTAATTTTTTAAAGTTTATAAATATATTACTTGTAAGTAATTGTGTCACATATATTTTGCGTATCCCTCGGATTCATGAAATTTATAAAATATTCAGCACTATCCCTTTGCTCAATTATATGTTCACTTACAATATTAATGCAATCCTTAATTTTAACTTCTACAGCGGGATTTAATACCTAACAAAAGGTTAGAATGGAGAATAGGATGGTGCCGAAAAGTATTTATGATGTGGTAAACCTCTAATTTTATTTCAAAATCCTGTGAACTTAATTTTTGTACCCAAATGTTTTTAAGGTTTGTTAGCATAAAATAAAGTTCACTTCGCTCCAAAAAATATTTTGTTTTTATATAATATATGTCGCCACTTATAATAAAAGGTTTCCAACTGACAGAACGTAATTGCTCCATTACCTAAGTGATATAATAAAAGATAAATTTAAAGTTAAGTTAGGTAAAAAGCCATGTATAGGAACACCTAATTTTTTTTATAGTACGTGTTATTAAAAAAATAAAAGGTATTTTCTGAGCATTATTAATGCATTATATTAACTAAAATGAAAAATTAATATCACTGGTAACCTTAAAAAATATATATATGCTGAGATCTAAACGAGCAACTTAATGCTAACGGCGACAAAAGACTTTTATATTTTTGTAAAAAATTAAATACAAATGTATATAAAAATTAAAGTCTTAATTACAGCAATAATATAAATAATTTAAACGGACAACAAAATGAAATGCAAAATGACAAATTGCGAAAATATTAAATAAAGAGATGAAAATGACCATCTGTTTATAATATATTTCTACGTGTTACTAGGTGTAAGCATTAAAATAATAGAATTTTCTCTATGCAGGGCTTACATAGTAATATAATACCACCACCGTGAACAAAATATGTATCATAAATAACTTAAGGCACAAAAAACCGTCATTCCACCTAATTAAATAAAAGTTTCCTTATTGGAAAGGTTACAACGTTATCGTTTGTTTCTTTTTTTAGCTAACCACACCTGTTATTCTATACAGCTGAAAAAATTTTGAGTAAAAAGAAGGAACTGTAATGATTTTAAAAATCATTTATAGAACAAAAAATACTCTTTCTAGCTTAATAACGCAAGTTATTAAAAATGGCGAGTGTATCTCCTACGCCAAATAATTTAATAATAGGAGATAAGTTAGAAGAAAAAAGATAAAAATGAGTAGGAAAAGGCACACTAAACTAAATCAAAATTTTAAAGTAATTATCTAAAACGGTTTTAAATACCGCTGAGACAACAATTTTATATTATTTAGTTTATATACCGATAGAAATACTTACATTAAATCACATTAATATAACAATGACGGTATCACATGTCTAATAATCTCATTACATACTATATATATAACAAATTCTTGTAATTATTATCTTATTCTGTTTTTTCGATTACTAAAAGATTTCAAATTTTTAGGTTGTAATTTAGCGCAAATTAATAAGTGTAAATAAGAAGTGTAAATAGAACTTATTTCTTAAATTTTATTCGAATTATGAAGAATTTGTTTAATGAGTTAAAAATTTAAATAATAAAGCACCAAAGAGAAACAATTTTAAATTATCTTTTTATTAGTTAGTATGTTTTCAGCGTTAGCCTTATGTTAGTTTCAGTTCCGTAGACTTTTAGTTTAAAAAAAATTATATTATTAAATAAGAAAAAATAATTTTTTTTTTTCAAAAATTTTTAGTTTTGACTCATAGTTAATATGGAGGCAGAGATTTAATTTAAGTTCTTAGCGTATACTTCTTTTCAAACTCTAAATAATAAACATTGTAAACAAAATGTTATATAAATTACGTAATCATTCACTACATAATGAGACTTAGAGAGCAACATTATGTATATAAGCATTGTTACAATATACACACCAAAAAGGGTATATGAGAAAGCTTAAGCACGATTCAGTACAGTTTGTACGCTACCATTCTGTTGATATAACCAGGACACAGCATTAATATAAAAAACATATATTTAATAGTCCGAAAAGGAAATCTAACTTTTTGTTAATGTGATCAGTTCAGAAAATATTTTTTAATTAGAAATGAGATAGAGCCTATAAAATCGCTATATATGATTATTATTTTAACTTTTTAGGGGGTTACTTAGAATTAGTCTTACTATATTTTGTATAAGACAAAGCAAGGTTAGACGTTAGGGGTTCTCCTTGTGCCAATTAGCAATACATGTAATACAATTAGTAAAAAGGATTAGTGAAATAAGCTTAATTAGCCTAAGTATCTTATTCATAGGAAAAACCTCCTTTCGCCTTTCGCAGTTTAAGAAGTCATTAGTGAAAGGTCGTGTTTTGGGATTATGGAATTGGTTAGAAAAGAGATTGCAATCGTTAATTACTATATTAAGCTTAAAATGCGTTTTATTTACCAAAAATGCATCTTTAAAACCGCCCTAAGCCAGTTAGCTACGTCCACGTACTTCTCAAAAGCGTTATTAATATATATTTTTAGTGCAGTATTTAAATTTCAAGTTTAAGTCAAACATGGCATCTCATCTAGTAGAGGTATATAACTGGAGATTTTTTAATGACATAATTAACAGCTTTAAATTTATAGGAAATGTACGACGGTGAGGGACACGGTTATTCCGTCATCATTTTATTCCTATAACACATGCAATGCATTTAGAATTAAAATATTTTCGCTTCCATGGTTATTCATATATTTGTACCATGCACGGCCTTTTAAAATAAGTACAGTTGTCTATTGTTGTCGAAACTCTTCCTAACCAAACATTCCCCACTTTTTAAAATTTTTAGCATTTTTTATTTTTCTCCAGTGTTAACTTTGATTATAAAGGTCATAAACCGTTTAGTATTGCCTCTCTTTAATTCTGTGCTTCAACACCCCTTAACAACCTCTTGTAGGGGCGGGGCGCCTTGAAATGCTATATTCGCTGTGTTTTTACTAAATAATTGTGATTAAAATCAATCTCTCGCCTTTTATACTCTGCGATTTGACTCGCACCATCTTTAAGAAACCAGATAAAATAAAGTGATACATTGGTCTAAAATAATCTTACATTATTTTAAGATAAGGGCCCTAGTAAAACATATTTTCCCAATTAAATAGTTGTCATAAACAACTTATTATAAAACTCTTCCAATTACAAAAATTATCCCCTCACACCAATTTAGTCTCTTAGGAGGAGAGAAAATTTTTATGGATAGTAGAGAACAATAAAGAGCTTTTAATAACAAGAAATCAACAGTTTTGATATAACCTTAGATATTGAAAAGACTTTTAATAGAGTCTGGCATGAAGGACTTAAAAATTAATTACGTACAAGTTGCTAGAATACGTAAGGCGAGCGCTGTATTCGTTTTTCTGCAGTAGATCACTTGTGTACAAATAGAAGGCTGGTCCGCTCTCCGGCTTCTTAAGGTGGAGCCCGCTGGGCACTCTACTATCACCTTAATATCCTTCCTATAGACATGCGACATTCCCTCATCCACCAAGAAGGTATTCATTGTTTTATATGCTGACGACACTGCCATATATTATAGTTGGAAACTTCATTAGCTATCCTCCTACAGTTGATAAAAGTTTTGCAAAGTAAAAAGTTACGATAGGCACCAGCAACTGCCATTCGATGATTATTTCAAGAAAAAAAAAATTTAAAGTTCTATCGCTATCGCAAACATCGACATCCCTTAGTGCAAGCAAGTAAAGTACCTTGGCGTAATTAATGACTCTAGACTTAACAGGAAGCCTCATAAATTTTTAATTGTTAAAAATTACAAATTTAACTTTTGCTTTATATCCTCTAATATGCAGAGAAGCTATTTGAGACTTAAATACTTACATATAAAGCTATAGTTAGACCATGGTTAGTTACGCATCTGTCTCATGGTCTTAACTGCTCGACTTTGGGTATAAACAGCGTTCGCATCCTTAAAAAATATCTCCTTAGAGGCGCGCGCCTTGGTTTATGCGAAATTACCAAGTACATTATGAATGTAAAAAATGAACTTCCTGCTTTACCTTAAACGGAGGGCTATAATATGTTTTATTCCTTATGAAGAATACCCTAACAATTTATTAACTAACGCCTTGTACTATATCTTTGAACATTTTTCAAAGTATAAATGATCTGAAAATTATTTGGACCTACTTTAGAAATGGGTGTATAGCAACGGCTTAAGAACATTAATTAGATTATAATAATACTTTAAATTTGGGAGGGTGGGTGAACAGGGGTAATGTAAAACGGTTAAAAAAATTAACTCATCGCTATCTTTACGTTATGGGAGATGGGTCGAGAGGCTTAAAATTATGTAAAGGAGGCTACCCTTCTCAACCCTCTCCATAGTAGATGTAGCGACTGTGGTATCCCAAAACGAAGAGTATTTAAATAAATAACTTTTGGAAAGCATTATTAAACTTCTATAATCAATTTTCGAACACTAGACTTTAGGTAAAGTTAAATAAGCTATTTTAATTTCCACTCAACTTATATAGTTTATTAAAGTTTTCAATTTATAATCTCCTCCACTTTTAAAGTTTTCACTTTTATTAATTTCTTATCATACGTTAGTTTCATTCTATCCTGATAGTATCCTTTTTCGCTTTTAAAACATGTTCCATTAACTTCAGTTTGCTATTAGTTCCTTTTTCAATTATTATATTTCATTTTTTGAGGAATTCGTAACCCACATCGATTATCTATGTCTTAACCTTAGCCTGTGACATCTACTATTTTTTGGTGTCATGGTTTACTTTCCTCGGGTGCAACTTCTCCTTACGTTACCCCGGAAAGTTACTTGTATTGCAACATGGGTTTAGAGATCCTACTTGTAAGACATAATTGTATATCTGTTGCTGGAGACTTAGCTCTTCTCTGGCTCTAGGTATTCTTTGGAATAGTGTTCTTACCCAAATATATATAAGTATATATGCACAGCTCCGCAGGGGAATAAGAAAATAACTTTCTTCTTTTACCTACACTTTACCCTTTTAGTAAGGCAAAAACTTAATTAAAAGATTAACTTTTTTATACAATAATAAGGAGAAAGTTATTATCTATATTTACCCAATGTATACAAGACTTTAAAAAGCAGTTGAACTTGGTTTAGAAAAACTTCATAATATAGCAGCCGGTACATGACCTAGAAAGTTATAATACTAGTTTTATTCTAATTATATTGTGCCTTTGGAATTTTAAAAAACGCAGGATAGCAGGTCCTCTGCAATGCTAAACACTTTGTTGCTTTATATAATATTGTTCAAGCCTACATGGCGTTGATCTTATTTATTTCTGAAATTTAATTATTTTCTTCACCACAATTAAAATATATATATAATAGCTTTACTGCAGGTAGTAAAAAGTAGCTAAAAAATAATCGAGGTCTATCAATTTATTTCTGCATGGCTTAAAAAACTTGTTCTTCTACTAATGTTTATAGTATGAAGAACAGAGGGCTGTATATGTTCATATGAATGCAGCTCATCCATGCTCTGCTACAATTTTTTTTATCTTGTTACCATTTTCTGTGGTTGGTTTAGTGCTCAAATAAATTTCTACAGTACTTTTAGTTCTTCGACCTCATAATTATATTACTTTAAAGTCTATATTATACTTTGCTAATATATTATATAACGTAGTATTTTACATTTACCCTAAACGACTTCTGGCCTGTAAAAACAACACTAGAGTAAAAGTAGTACACCCTTTACCTTTTTGCCGTATACCTGGAGTACTTAATATTATTAATCCTGCCCACGCACTTGAATTGTAGGATTGTTTTGTACCTGCCGTCAGTGTTGTGCCACTAATTGCAGTTCCTTGCTTGTCTTAAACTACCCGTATATATATAAGGGTTAGGATTCTAGGTAATTTAACAGTTCGACATTTTACAGTCTTAACTGGGCATAATGAGTTCTATGTACTACTAGGAAACGTGATTCTCTCCTGTACTTTATAGTGACAAGTTCCTTGAAAGTATAGTTAAAAATAGTTTATAAAAATTTTTATTACTCACTTCTTAGAAACAGTTAGTTCTTTCTTGTGTATTAACCTTAAACTCAATGTTCTACCTATTTACGCTTCATATACGCAACTTATTAAAAATAAACAAAAAAAAAATTTTGCCAATTTTTACCTTTGAGCAACTAATGTATAATAAGCTAAAAATTTTGAAATAAAATAAATAGTTTACCTCTTTTTTAGTTAAGTGTACCTTTTCTTTATATGCAAATACGGTAAAATTAATTTGCCCCACAAGTGCTAGGAAAAATACATGTAGTAAATTAACTACTTTAATGTTTCCATGAATTTTTTCCTCTAAACCTTTACCTTCTCCATATTAATGAAGTTAATAAGTTATTACGTTTGAACGCGCTGTACAAGGGTATACACAAACTTCCCTCCTTAATTTTTTGCCTCATCTGCCAAGTTGTTATTAACTGTTTATTTAAAAAAAAAAATCATTTAACTTTAAACTAGAATTATCCTAAATACTTATTTAACCTCTTTTTATCGTGCCTTCATAAAAACTGCTATACGTAATGTCTCTTAGCTTTCGCTGTAAACAATCTTTTCAGTATACTGGAATTCACGTTAACCCTCTTATAAAAAATTACCAACCGATGTAAATTTAATTAAATCTATTAAATATTTATAGGGTAATGCAAAAGTAATTAGAATGCGCTCTTAAAGAAAGGAAAGACAACCTCTGCTCTTTTACTCGTCAAGTTGCCTAGACGCTTAGAAAGAATCTATTATTTAAAAAGTATAGGGTATAAGGCCGTGTCGGTTGAACCCCTAAAAAGAAGCGGGAAGAGCGGCCATTGCCATAGTGTTAACTATTTGGGCATACAGAGAAATACTGTAAGTCATGCAACAAATGCATCAAATTCGGTGGCTTTCACGAGTCTAAGTCCTGCACTAAAAGCAAGGATGCAAAGCCTACCTGCGCCAATTGCCAAGGGGAGCATTCTTCAAATTATATAGCATGGAATGTACTACCCGAAAAACGCACCTATGAGGAAAATTATAAAAATATATCAACTAAAGCTTCCAAGAGTCCTGAAAGTTCGTTGAAAAAAATATAAGCTACGCACAGCGTACTAAAATGAACTTATCACTTGAAGCAACTAATACAGTTCCTCTAACGGCATGATTGAATAACTTTGTAGCAACAATGCGATCAGCTCTCATGTGGAAAAGCAATAACGGAGCTCAATTGTAAAGTTGAACAAATCGAGGCAAGCTCTAGTTCCTTAAGGATTCTGGCATGTAAATGCTAACGGCGTTCGATGCAAGAAGCAAGAACTACAGGAACTTATTGCCCGAATAGCTTACACATGATTCTCGTCTCTGAAATACATCTGAAGTAAGGTAACCGATTTAGAGTACCCAACTATGCTGTATAAAGGTGCGATAGGAAAGATACTGGAGGAGGAGGTTAGCTGTCCTAAATAAAAGAAAAATTAACCACCAAGCGCTCTATTTTTTCGACTCGATAAGTTTAGAAGCTATCGATGTAAATATAGAGCTCTTTTCACAATGGGAAAGTCGATATAATTGCTGCTTATAAATCACCTGATAACGTTATGCATAAAGTTTATTTTGATAAGATTTTTGTGGGTTCCTTCAGTAGCTTAACGACTGGAGTTTTAAACTGCAAAAGTCCTTTGTGGAATAGCAGGCGGGAATAAACCAATGAAAAGAGGTTTGCCGAAATATCCATCGGAAAAGGCTTAATAGTTATTGGTCGGAAGGACCCAGCGCATCGCCCGGTGAAAGGGGCTTGTGACGTTTTAGATACCACGGTAACACAAAATATCTACGTACCTGCCAACGTCTATACGCTATATGAACTCTCTTCTGGTCATGATCCCACCCTTAGAGATAGGAGATAAGTCGACCTCGAGTACTTGGATTAAAGAGGTAACTAGTTGACCCACATTGCGGAGTCACATAGACAAAAGCATAGATAACATAGGCGCACACTATTGAGAAAACCCCTTATTAGACACGGCTGTTGTGCAAATGGAAAGAGCTATAAAGGAGGCCTATACTAGGTCCACTTCATTTGAAGAACGCAAAAACCAGCAATATGACCTACCAGATCATATCAGATAGCTGATTAAGAGAAGGGAAAGTTGAGGACAAGATATATGAACTATTGTTTTCCAGGCGATAAAAAACCTTCCAAGATAAATACTCGAGTTAAGGAGGCATTAAAAGATTGATTTTACGAGAGTTGAGCAGAATAAATTACTCTTCGGGGCCAGAGAATAATTCCCTATGGAAATAAGCAAGGGCCGTCCGATCTACTGAGACTAGGGATATAATATTGCCCATCCGTGAACGCTGGACGCTCAGCGACGACACCCTCCGAAATAGTAGAGGCTACTGTCGACTCACTGGAAGCCCACTCAACTATAATAGAGTCCGACAATAACGAATAGCATCCCAAGGTCGTGCGCATTATAGTTACTGCTTACCTTTTAAGGCCTACCTATG